CCAGGAAACATGCGGTGTGTAGACAGTAACAGAGCATATAGTAAGGCCAGGAAACATGCGGTGTGTAGACAGTAACAGAGCGTATAGTAAGGACAGGAAACATGCGGTGTGTAGACAGTAACAGAGCATATAGTAAGGCCAGGAAACATGCGGTGTGTAGACAGTAACAGAGCGTATAGTAAGGACAGGAAACTTGTCTTATTTGATGGCCTCAGATTACCTGGTGGAAAGTCATTCAGCATAGGGGAAATATGCAAACTCCATACAGATAGAGAAGAGTGGAGGCAGGATTTAAACTCCCAAGCATGACGTTAGGGGGTTAAGTTTCCAGATGAAACAATGATCTTGGACTCAGGAGAGGTGTCTGGGTTTGGTGCCGATGGTTTGAATGCTTCCAGTGTTTCGCATGAATGTTCCTAGTGTTGCACTTCTCATTATTCAACTGTCTTACTGGCTTTGTTGGAAGATGTCAAGCATGTTTAGATTTGAAGCTGGGCATTCATCAGAAGCTCAGAAAAGCTGCACTTATGCCTAGGCAACTCCTTGAGAGCAGTTTGTTTGTAATGTGCTATCTGCAACACATTCGTGTCGCTTTGGACAAAGACTTTTGTTGAATAAAATAAACGTAATGTAAAAATAAAAAAATGTTAATTAATTTCAGAATCATTTCGATTTGTGTATATCATATAGTATACCATATAGTATATCATAGTACTGGTTGTTCTGAACGCTAGAAAAACCATCAGCTGTTAAGAGGTCTCTCTACTCTCTCATTGCCAATATAGAAATGGGAATGTCTTTCTCATACAGCTTGGCCCTTAGGAAAGATGTAGATTGCAAAGAAAATTATATGCATTTTAATTATAGGACTGAAACTTTTTAAAAGGAATAGAGAGAATCCATGGTAATGAATATATGACACTGAATCCATTGAAATGCAGTGGTGGGCCTTAGCATTAATGCGGGGCTTGATGAAATGCAGTTTCTCAGTAACGCATTCACGGCAAAGGCGGAATCAGGCAGCAGTGGTAGCAGCGCTGCAATGAAGAGCCTCTTCATGGTTCTGACTGCAGGCCTGATTGTTGGGAGGTGCTACAGAGTCACAGCCGCTTCTGGGGTGGTCTCACACTAAGGACACTGGATGGTGATTGAAGTCGAGGTTGATAGTACGTTTCTGTTTGCCTCTCTATGATATTTATCATGATATTGTTGACTGGCTTATATTTCGTAAATGATTCTGTGTCCTGCTTAAAAAGGCGTGGTGACTCAGTGACTGGCACTGTAGGGTTGTGGGTTCCGATCCCAGCCTGGCCCTAAGAGTGCAATCAATTGGCATATTGTATAAACACAGCACAGAATGTGCCTGTGACCTTCCGTGTCCTCCTGCAGCTGGAGAACCTGACGGGCACCTCCAACGTGACAGTGGCGTACTCGGTGGGCAGCGGCAGCACGGTCTTCATGACCTCCGTGGTGATCGAGGCCCTCGCCGTGTACGGGATTGACAAGTTGATGACTGACATCCGGCAGTTCGTGCCTTTGGTGCAATCCCTTTCCATACCTGTCGCCCCCTGGAGGCCCAGCCCTGCCATTTCACTTCAGCTCAAAACAGGTGATGCTCAGGAAACTCCAAGCCATCACTGCAAGGGCCGTGACTTTGTTTCATTTGTGAGCGGCTCAGTCTTTGGTGCTGCTTTGATATATACAGTACTGTGCAAAAGTCTTAGGCAGTCAAGAGAAATGCTTAAACCTATTTATCTGTGTACTTTTGCTAATATCAAAAATACAATTTGTCGTTAGAACATATGCAAGTTAAGACTAACACAATAAAAACGAGCAAGAATTTCTTCTGCTCTCCAAAAAGTTACTGATATCTAGTTGGATGGCTAGATGAACGTCGCTTCAGTTCCCAAGCATCTCCTCAGGGGCACCTCAGCCATTCCATGTGTTTATTAAATTTCACTACCAGCTCATTTAATTAATTAATTAGTTAAAAAAAAGTCAATGAGATATTCATTAGCTATATGAGTTGTGCTAGTGGTATATGCTGGATTGATTTTAGCAGTTTTGAAATGGCTAAGCTAACACACTTTGACAGGCATGACAGCAAAGTTATACCAACATGAAAATCATTTAAACATCATTTTCTCTGGCTGCTTAAGACTTTCGCACAGTACTGTGTATGAACAGACTTATGTGATACAGTTTACGTTGGTGTATTTTCATATTAAGCTTTCAGTAAACGTGTAAAATTAAATATGCATAATCACTGTGGGTGTATAAGAAATACTGGTAATATTTTACTTTAAGGCCACGTTTTTAGTCATTTCTATACACATTCATAACAAATAATAATGCATCCATAAAACGTATAAACATGGCTATAAATATTTATTAGATTATTAAAAAACATATTATAGCCGTGTGTTTTATGCATTGTGATTGCCTTATGAAGCTCTCATCTATATTGGACAATAGATACCTTTATAATGCCTTATAATGGTTAGTATAAGCATTAAGGATTCTTTGTACTGTATCTTTCACAATGGGCATGTAAGCAAACTTTCGATTTCGACTGCTATCTGTTCCGATGCAGTGCTGCGGTTTGTGGGCCCAGGAGAGAACATCAAGTCTTGCAGTTTCTCTCAGCTGATGGAACGGCGACTGGAACTTGCATTTGCAGAAGCGGAATCCAAAGTGCTGAATTCCAACAGCAAGCTGACTGTACAGGTAACGAGATTCTGCAGGGTGTCTCTGTATCGGACCTGCACCTCTGATCACTGGGATCCTTCAATGCCGGATGATCACAGTTTCTCTGTGGCTTATTTTTACACTTCCTTACGTAACATGATGTTTTCTGGTGGTGTGAATTTGTGTTTTGGATGTCAATCGATGGTAGCCAGCTTAGCAGATGAAGTGATACGGCACACCAAATATAATGGAGAAATTGTTTTATTGAGTAGATTTTCATACCAAACGCATTGTAATCGTTCTCATATGGTGCTGATACACAGATAGGAATTTGGAGCTTCATGTACATGAAAAACCACAATGAAACCCAAATTTCATTTGCACCTGTTTTGGCTGAGCTTGGTGTCTTTAATATTTTTGGTTATATTCCGTAACTTTGTCCAGAGTAAGCGGACAGTCTATCACTGGGCGTTCCCATGCTGACATGTGCTGCCGTGGGGGGGTTCTGGGTTAGATCCTGGGCTCCTCGCGAGCGCTGAGCTCCCCGGCTGTTTCCCTCATCTATGTGGTGTTGAACGGCAGCGTCCCTCTGAACGGCACTACCTCCAGCAGCCTCCTGAACCAGCTGACCGCCGAGATGGTTGGCTACTTCCTCCTCTTCCCCCCACTCATCATCGCGGAGCGTAAGTGGTTTTTATTCACGTGTCCCCATTAGGCCAGAGTCACTGGGGTGCAGGAGGTGACGCGGTTATGGGCTGGTGATCAGGATGGGAGCACATGGGATCGTTGGCTTTGTGATCAGTGTGACAGCAGCAGCCTCACAGCTGTATTCTCCAACACAGTGTTTCCCAGTCTGGTCCTCAGGGACCCACAGACAGTCCACATTTTTGCTCCCTCCCAACTCCCTGCCAGATAGTCCGGTAGCTGGGAGGAAGCAAAAATGTGGACTGTCTGCAAGTCACTGAGGACTGGATTGGGAAACACTGCCCTAACAGACCATCTGTGCTTTCATCTTTTATTTGTCTTATGAAATATGGGGGGAAATTCAGAACAACAGGCTGGCTTTACAACTAACTGGAACAAAAGCCTTGCATTTAGTCTAATGGGGTGGGGGGGGGGGGGGGGCTTAGCTTTGTCTGACATAGAGAATCAGCCTCGTGTTATCAGAGGAGGATTCTAAACAAGACAGGAGGACTGTTAGCAGACTTACCTGGGTCTCTAGTGGCTTTTATCCCCCTTTTCTCTGTTTCTTTGCTTGAATAACGGGTTGGTAAATATGTGAATCAAAATAAGTGGCATATTTCATTTATACTGGTTAAAATAAGATGCAGGCAAATATGCCACACAGCAGAAGTTTGCTACGCCTGCACTTAATCCACTTATTAATGATGAATCTGTCAAGCTGTTATGTAAACACACGATGGAGTGGTGAAGGTAATTCTGCATTTCATGGCTCTACTCTCTGCTTGTTCATTTGCTCAGTTAGAGACATTTCCCCCATATGTTGATATTTCCCACATCAAAGTCGACCGCAGAGGTGAATCGTTCACACTGAAGGCTCTCCGGTCCAGTGAAGTCACCCTGCAGGCCATATTACTCCTATGCTGGGCTGCGGTGGAGAGCATTTTATGTTTATTAAAGCTCTGCTTCACTTTTGGGGTACATCATAAACATTCAGAACGTTTTTTGATGATTTTTTTTAAAGCTGTCCCCCTAACATGACCATCTGTGGCTGAAAGATACTGGCTGCCTGAGAGGTTCCCTGCTTGCAGTCAAACATGTGCTTATCAGCATCTTTCATGGCTGTGTGGGCAGTCAGAAGGCCCAGCGGTGCCTGGTCAGCACCAGCGCATGCTGTGCAGTTATGCTGCATTACAGTTATTTATTTAGCAGATACTTTTATCCAGACCGATATACATTTTTGAGAAAGTGGGCTCAGCCAGTCCTGGAGTAATTGGGAATTACAAGCCTTGCCCAAGGGCCCAACAATGACATCACTCTGCCAACCCTGGGATTTGAACCAGCATCTTTCTGGTCATGGGCACAGTGTCCTGAGCCACACAGCACATTAGAGCCCATGCCCCAGACACCAGCTTCTGTCCTGCGAGGGGGGTGTGACTTCCCACAACCCTCTCTCGGCGGTGATGAGTGGGTGACGTCGCCCTTCCCTACCTGAAGGGGGAGCCAGTCAGCATGCATTCTGGGGGAAGTGTGTACTGGTCTGTACAGTCCCCGCACTCACACGGCCTGGTGTATGGAGAGCCGACTGGTTGGAGAATTAGAAGAACGCGGTTTGACCTGACTTTGCAGGTCACTGCATGCCCATGCAGCACTGCACCTGGCAGACAGGCTTCTGCTGCCACTCTGAGCCGCAGCAGATAATGCGGAACCGAGAGCCTCGCTGCTGATGGCGAACGTGTCCTTCCCTTACAGCCCTGGAGTACCACAACCTCAACACGTCCACCGCCACCAGGGACTATTGGGTGATCACAGGTAATTCACATCATCACGATGTTTACATTACAGCGATACACAGAGTTACACATACATAATGCCAATGTGTTCAGATGTTTCAGAGCCCTCTCACATATTCACAGCTTACTGAGCTGTCAAAGCAGATTCTCAAAGTGTGGGAAACAGCAGTCTCCCCGTAGCGAGGCTGACCGGCAGGAATGTCCTCTACCCTCAATGGCGGTGTGCAAAGGCCAGCTTAGAAGCCAGTAAGATTTTATTACACAGCGCTCTGACCTTGGGTTTAGCTCTGGGACCATATGAAATAAGAGAGCATTCAGTACCTGGCATTATGGAATAAGAAGGAGGGAGATAAGGATGAGCCTTGTGTATCCCCTGCGATGGAGGGGGGTCCGGGCCAAGGCGTCCCCTGCCTCGGGCACTCTGATGCCTGTCAGAGGCTCCAGGCCCCCTGTACTGTATGAGTGGCTGGAAGATGATGGATGCATGGAGAGATTCTTGAATTTTTCCAATGTTTCACAGTTTTTTTTTTAACTCACCGATTTCTTCTTTAGACTGTCTTGCTTCCACAAGCTTGATTATTTTTTTCTGTCTGACTTCGCCTTTCCCTGACTGAAGTGACCCGACCCCCCCGGGGGCACTCACCTTAATAATCTGTCAAGAAAATGTGCTTACGCTTGTATGTCGCCTGTTCCCAGCATACAAAATGTAAATAATAATAATAATAGTAATAATAACATATTTATTTCAGACGGGGGGGCACGGGGGGGGGACATGCATGTTGCCCCCCCCCCCCCCAGAACTGCCCCTGCTGTTATGTCAGTTTTGGGCTTTACACAATCAGGCAAGCAGCAACAGATGAGTGAATCTGTGGTGAAGAGCTGCTCTGAGATCTCTGCGCTGAGAATACAGCAGCTTTCTCCAAGCGACTGACCCTCGCATTGTGGTTCTGACCCACTTCCCGCTGACGATGTCAGACCTTAAATTAGACTGGATAGCAGCCTCCTTCTCCTGTCCCTGACTCTACTTATGCATTCTGGCCATTGACGGCTAATCTGGGTGCCCATCCATCCTCCTGCTTCAGCTCCAGACACAGGAAGGTGTGGCCGGGGTTGACTGTCACTGTGTCTCTGGCGCTCCTTTATGATGAGCACCCCCACCCCCCGCCCCCCATTCTGTACACTGCCCGCAGTCATCCAGGATGTGGACAACTCCTCCCTGGAGGGAAACTACCAAAGCTTTGCCAGCCTGATGGAGCAGCGGCTCGCCGAGGTCTTCGTCATCACCAGGCAGCAAGGGACACGTTTCCGCCGGGCCACCACAGTGGGGGGCTACACCGTCCAGGTGGGACGGAGCACCGAGCCCCACGGCATCACCCGGTGGGGGGGCCCATCTTAGTGCCCTTGTCACTGATGTAAAGGCAGGAGCCCGAGTTGCAAGGATACTGTGGACCTGGGCCCCCCACCTCATACTGTGATTATGAATCAATGACAGGAGCAAAGACACTGAGCTCAGCTGCCCAGACAGACCTGTATCTGATATGTTCACATTCTGCTGAAATTAGCTAAATATTCTGTTGAACTGTGTGCGTCTAGCGGAAATGTAGTCTTTGTAATCATATTCGTTTTTCTTAAAGTGAAACTAGGACTAGTTGACTGCACACAGCTGTGTAAGCAAAAGGGCTGCATCTTGTTGCTTTAGATGGTGGGCATACGGCGAGTTCCTGGCTCGAAGAATCCTGCTGAGATGACCTACTACGTCCAGCTGAACGGCATCCCCATGCCTGGCACGTCCGCCGCCAAAATCCTCAACACGGTGGACTCGCAGACGATGGCCCTCACCCTGGGCTACTTCGTTCAGCTGCAAGCCGAACGTACGTGAACAGCGTGTGTGAACGGCACACGCAAATGATTTGTCTCAAACCAAAGGCTGTGCCTCTACAGCTTTCACGCGGCTTTTGAGGAAGACGGTTGACTCATTGAATGAGACTTGAATGTGCCGCTCCAGGTGGCCACATGCTGCTGGGATATCTTTCAGCAGAGAGCTGGTACCTCTGTATTGATATATTGAAAATACAGCTATATTGCTGCTTTCATACATTTTTGCTTGTTTAGTTGGATGCGTCTCTAAAATAATTTGGGTTACATGCACTCAGGGATGCCACCTGAATTCCTCTGCCTTGGTCCGTGTGTTTCTCATCCCTAAATCCTGCTCTTGCAGCAGCTTGTCATGCCTGATCTGTGGCTATCTTCCAGTTAGCATATGTGCAAAGCTCTCCTGTAAGCGGTTAGCGGCTGGATCGACTGATACCTCATGACATGGGCTTTAACAGCTGTGGTGAAGAACCCGCCAAATAACCTGTGGATCATCGCCGCCATCCTGGCACCCATCGCCGTGGTGACCGTGATCATCATCATCATCACCGCCGTGCTGTGCCGCAAGAACAAGGGCGACTTCAAGGCCGACACCATGGGCAACCTCAACCCCAGGAGCAAGGTGCCCCCCCGACGCCCCCCTAGATGTGCACGCCAATCAGATGCTCTGCCTTGATCTGGCTTGGCCCAGGAAGCAACTTTTAATGTATCTGATTTGCTCCCTTGTTTAGACGGCGTACCGGAGAGAGGCCAGTTACTACCACCAGGTAACGATACTCGCTGCTTGGCATCTACATGTAGTGCGACAGTGAAAGCAGGACCTGGCTAGGCACTGCTACTTTCTGGATCTTTCACAACTGCTCTGTCTAGAGTAACTGGGGCAGTTCTTTAGACCCCACAAACTCAAGGGGAAATCTGGCTTTGATGTGAAAGCGCAGTCGTATTCTGTTTAGCATCACAGCACTATTTCCTAAAGAATTAGTGAGGAAGAGGAAGTTCATGCTGCTCTATACTATTATATGCTGATGTATACTATCACATACTGATCTAAAATATCATATACTGATCTATACTATCATATGCTGATCTATACTGCCATATGCTGATTCATAAAATCAAGGTGTTTATGTTATTATTCACACATGGTGGCTCTGAGAGGAGCACTGTTGACTCACATCTCCAGGACTGGTGTAGATTTGATGTCTTTAAACTGCCCATTGGGTGTGAGCTCTCTGATGTCCCTGCCATGTTTACTGCGCTCCTGCCTTGGAAAAGCCATTAGGGCAGATGGAAGGATAGATTGTTTAAATGATTATTATTATTCTGATGATGAACATTAATGCTGTATCTATTGGATTACACAGGGTGATGTGGAAGGTACAGTGCGTAGCACATTCCATGTGATTTTCCACACGAGTGTGTAGTGCAGTGAATGCACTGCATGTTGCACAAATGGGGTCAAATATTCCCAGGCTGGTGTTAAAAAATAGGTCAGTGCGGCGCCACCTTAAGTAGGGCTCCTTAGCGGCTGGTTGTATGCCTGTAGATCAGACGTGGCGCACTGGGAGCTGCGCTCACGCCCCCCGCCTGCCTGGCCACGCACCGACCCATGCCGCATGCTGCTACCACTGCACCTTGCTGGCACACTGATCTATACATCTCAATGACACACTGCTGCTCTACAGACTCCATACAGGACAAATGACCATGCAATGGCTGTTTATCGTAGTGACACAATTGAGTATCCGCTAATTAATCTCGTAGGTCTGACTGTCATAGTTTTCACAGATTTATCTCATGAGTCCAGATAAATAAATGGGTTTGCTTGTTATCGTGGAGTGTATTTATATATCTCTGTGAATTACAGGACTGCCATCACTGGCTCTGGTGTAAGTTAGCTATACTGTAGTTATAAATGAAGACGGGAGTGTGCAAGGAAGCTGGTGTCTTTTTAATGGTGATGTTGTTAAATGCCAGAGTCACCTTGGGGTCAGAAAGATGCTCAGTGATGGGCTGGCTGGGTTTTGCAAGCTCAGCACAGATACACAGCCGACCGCACCTCATCAGTCAGAGTGGGCCATTTAGATGTCAGCAGATGGGCACAGACTCATGCTATTGGCTTTAACATGTATATGTGTTAATGTCTGTGTGATAAGAATATGCATGTCTGTTCAGAGTTAAAGAATCAGCTGTTCCTCCAGAACTGGTCTGGCATTTTGCAGAGGACTGCCAATTCCACTGGATCCCATTTATTTCTCCAGTGCCTTTTGATGATCAACAAAGTTATCTTTAGGGTAATCCCATAAAGAACACTGGCAATGAATCCATCTCAGCCAAGCTGAAAATGGAACAGTTCAAAACCGCAAATTGGGAGGAGACAGCTGACATTGCTGTGGATGAATGAGAGGGAATCTCCAGCCATAGGTCCAGTAGTCATACTTCAAACCGATCATTGCGTGGAGAATTATGGCGGCAGGCAGCAGTTTGACCTGGAGCAAGGTTAATGACAGCATTCCTGTCACCATTCCCGGGGTGCATTCAGCAGAGTCAGCTTTCTGTCTGCATCTCAGTGAGTGAGTGCGGCCGCATCCCAAAAGTAATTCCGGAATGAGGATCGACGAGGCTGCAAAAAATCCATGTATTGATTTCTCCTTTGCTGGGCGGCAAGTGAATGTGAGCCGCAGTGTGAGTGTGAGCTATAGTGTGGGTGTGAGCTATAGTGTGAGCCAAAGTGTTAGTGTGGGTTACATTGCGAGTGTGGGCCGCAGTGCAAGTGTGAGCCACAGTGTGAGAGTGAGATATAGTGCGAGTGTAACCTATAGTATGATTCTGAGCCACAGTGCCACTGTGAGCTAAATGTGAGCCACAGTGCGAGGTTTAGCTACAGTGTGAGGTGCAGTTTTGATGTCAGCCACTGTGTTTGGCTCAGCATGAGGTCTGCATTTAAACATTTCTCATGGCACCCTGGGACAGCGTGATGCACAGACTTGCACCTGAATGGTGTTCTGTATTATGTGCAGTATATGTTTGTGCATGGAAAAGAAACTATGAAAACAGGCTGTTTGTATCCAAAAGTCCACTTTGCTTACTTCACTTTGGGCTCAGTATATTGGTACTGGAATATCTTATGTAAAAATCTGAGTTGAGATGCCAGGCAGTTTTGTATGTGAGACATCATGTAGTCATCAGTTTTCTTTACTAAGCAAGCAGAAAATACTGACCAGTGGTTGTTCTCCCTCACAGCCAGTACAAGGGTTTGACTATGCCAAGCAGCACCTTGGCCAACAGGGCGGCGATGAAGAGGCTCTCCCTGTTACCCAAGAGACGATGGTCCTGCCCCTTCCCATCCGGGATGCCCCACTCTCTCAGGAGAGGGGTATGCATCAAGATGGCACCACCTCCAAAAAGACCCTCTCCAGTGAGGTGCGCAAAAGGTACGGACCTCTGGCCAGTGGTAACCATACATGGTTTGGGCTGGTGTGAATCTCTAACTCTGTTCTAGTGTTAATTTCCATTAGAGAGTAGGATGTTTTATATCCATGATATGCACCAGGTCAAAAGTTAGCAGGCTTTAGGTTTAAGCAAAGTTAATAACAGCAATCATGTACCTGGTGTACCTAAGATAGTGTGCTGGGACAGGAAACATTCTGACCGTCTAAAATATAGTATATGGCTTTAACAAATGTTGCTTGTAATAGAGACTATTACACCTTTCAACACTGGTGTGGTGGAAGCTTGTGGAAAAGGAGGCTTGTACATCTTTTAGTTTTCCATTGGGGACTTTTTGGAAAAACAGTCCCAAATGCTGAATAATTCCCTGAAATGATTCCAAGAGAGGTGAGAGAGAAGCTTTGGGAGCCATTTAAGGGTGACGCTGAGGTTGTTGATGGCACATTGATGCTGTGACTGTAAACCATACTCAGAAACTCTGCATCCTACGCCTTGAACAGGCTGCATTTTCCTGATGGGTTCTTGTGTGGTGCAGTGCTCCCTCAATCTGGTGCAGTGCACCCTCAATCTAGTGCAGTGCTCCCTCAATCTGGTGCAGTGCTCCCTCAATCTAGCTGCTGTTAACTTAGGAAAGAGGATGCAGGAACTGCACCGTTGAACTGACATCCCATTTATAGGTGCTGAAGCTGTTAATCTCCCTGTGAATTTTTCATTATAGAGGAGATCCAGCTGAGCTGCTGGATTGTTGGTGAACCAGCAGCTCATGGGAATCATTTTCGCTCCAGGTTCAGAGCTGGAGGGTGTCGTTGGCTTTTCATTCAATTTTCATTCAGCTTAATTCATACAATGGATTATTAATGAAGTTAATGTTTTTTCTTTCTAAGAATGGATGATAAATTTATGATCAGAAAATTAATCAGTATCAAGTACAATCAAACATTGTTCCCAAATACTGTCAAGATAGAAAGGACAACACAATATTCCAGATGTGTCTGCTCAAACTGTAGCTATTTTGCAGTTTTAGGAACATGAATACTGCCTTTTAAATCATAACGTTATGGAATTGCAAATAGTCGGACAAAAATTCAATTTGCATTGACCACCGGAGTGACATTCCCTCCATTACAGCACACTCCCCATTACAGGTCACCCCCATTACAGCACACTCCCCATTACAGGTCACCCCCATTACAGCACACTCCCCATTACAGGTCACCCCCATTACAGCACACCCCCCCATTTCAGGTCACCCAATTACAGTATACCCCCCATTTCAGGTCACCCTATTACAGCACATCCCCCCATTACAGTACACCCACACTGCAGCAAACCCCCATTACAGCACACTCCGCATTACAGGTCACCCCCATTACAGTACACCGCCAATTATAGGTCACCCGCACTGCACTTCAGTACTCCCCCCATTACAGGTCACTCTCACTGCACTACAGTACTACCCCCATTACAGGTCACCCCCATTACAGCACACTCTGCATTACAGGTCACCCCCATTACAGCACACTCCGCATTACAGGTCACCCCCATTACAGGACACCCCCCA